ACAGAGCCCTAATGTTACCCCAAGTCGGCCTATAAAGCAACCAAGATTTATCCATGTTGGGTAAACACACTGTCTTCCTAGAGACCCTAGTAAACAACGTAATAATCAAAACCTCATTTAACTTATTGATACTAAAATTAATAATTACTAAATTAATCCATTTAAACATACAAAGCCAATTAAATAAAAATTTATCAATTAATTCAATTAAAAATACAAGTAAAAACAATCTATTTAAATCAACCAATAAAATAAAAACAAACAATTAATTAGAACAAAATCAAACAATTAATTAAAATAAAATCAAACAATTAATTAAAATAAACCACTACTCAAATAACCAATTTGACACATAAGCACTTAACCACAAAATCAAATTAAAATTTCACACTAAATAAAATTCAAATTCCAATTTTATCCTTTGGAAAACTTGAGGTATTACAGAGGTTGCCTGAAAAGTTATTCTGGTGCTCAGAAAATCAGGCCACAAATTAAATCAGAAACTTTCTACCCTCAAGTGGTGCTAGATTAGACCACCCATCCCCACTTGACCAAACCACCTTCTTCCCCCATTCTCTCGGCGTTCACTGCCACGCCGCAGTGCCGCCACCACCACCCTTTTCCCCTATCTTTCTCTCTCTTTCACACACACACACGTTCTCTCTCTATATATATACACACACACGGCGTTCACTGAGCCACCACCACCACCTATCTTCCCTTCTCTCCACACACACACACATACGTACATACATATATATATATATATATATATATATATATATATATATATATATATATACGACGTTAACTCTGTTGCTGCCACCACCACCACCTATCTTCCCCTACTCCACCACCACCCATTTTCCTTCCACCACTACCGATCTAAAACTACCGATGGTGTACGAAGATGAGAATCGTGAATCAGAGGCAAAATCCCACTGCGAGAGTTCCACGAGCCGAAAACAAGATTGCCTTCCCTACACGTGCTACCGTGGAGCTCTCTGCAACAAGGCCGGAAGCAACGTTGAAGCCAGTTCCAAGGGTTGGAAGTTTTGAAGAGCAGTCTGTAATGGTTATGATATAAAAATAAATAAATTAAAAAAAAAGAAAAGAAAAGTTTAGATTTTTTTGGTGGTGGGACCCACCACCACTTATCTTCATTTTGTGGTAACTTTTCTCTCTCCCGATCTGGTTCTCTCTCCCTCTATTCTGTTTTTTTTTTTTTTTTCCTTGCAAAATTCAAGCTTCAATTTCTCTTTCATTCCTTGGAGTTTTTGGGAGCTGGTTGCGGCAAATCGAAGAGCTCAGTGAGATCTTCAAGTTGATGTAAGCAATTTCAACTTTTGGCCACTCTAAGAATTCTGAAAATTTGAACCCATTTGAGGGTTTTTTACAAAATTGAGTTAGGGGTGTTCTAATACCCATTTCTTTGAGCTTTGTGAGTAAATTTCTTTTAATTGATGCACAAGCATGCTTATATTGTGCTAAATTCTTGAGATGAAATTTATATATTGTATACATGATTTTTATTTTTTTTAATTTTTATTATTATTATTTTTTTATGTTGTAGAAAGTGTGTGATTATGTGATAGCCGCCTTGTTGAGATGATACATGCTTAAATGATGTTAATTTAAGCCTTATGTATTTAAGTTGTTGGATTTACAAATTGAAAGTATAAAAAATGCCATGAATTAGAAATGTGAGAATGTGATATTGTGCGGAAATTCATATTTTAAACATGTCTAATTGATGTGGATGATATGTACGAAATTTTTATATTGTCATAGTATTGAAGGAATTGCATAATTCATGTATTACCATTGGGAAAGTAAAAGGAAAATTTTATTTTAAAAAAAATGAAATTATTTTTGGGAAAATATTTTCAAAGGTGTTTGCGAAAACAGGACGCCTAAGAGGCACTTAGTGATCCGTTTTATTAGTGTAGTCTAGAAGGGAATATGATTGAGCTAACTAGGCTGGATGCGACGCCTTAGAGGTGCCTGTGGTCGTGGATAGTTAGTCAACCCTCCATTCGTGACACCTTGGAGGTGCCTTGGGTTGGATTGCGGATTGCACTAACGGTTTGGAAGTTGAAACGGGAGTGTTTCGGAAATGAGGAGTGACATGAGCATGGCATTGCACTTCATTTGCATACATGGTGTATTTGTGACTTGGATGACATTTATTTTTATATTGGATGTACGTTGTGGTTATGGTTTACATCCCCGGTATAGTATGATCCCGTTTTCATATTTTCTATTCTCTATGTGGATTCATGATGTCATAAGAGGTGTGTCTTAGGCACCTCCTACTGAGCAATTTGTTCACCTCTTATATTTAACAATTTTCAGGACACGGACGGGAAGTGGTGGACGACGTTCCTCCACAGGGTTCGATGGGTTAGTAGATCGTTTTGGCATACTTTGTAGTTATGATCTCATTTTATTATTTATTTATTTATTTATTATTATTATTTATATAAATCCTGGGATGACATGTCTATTATGTATTGACATAGGACAGGATGGTAGTGTCCTTAGTTGGCCTCGGGTTCGGGTAAGGACCCGGTTAGCGATTCGGACTCTCGGCTTCGGGTCGTTATACAGTCCCTCATTTCCAAGATATAGAAATAAAAAACGACGCCGTTAGCGGATCTGTTCTGTCGTCGATGCTTCTGGGTCTTGTCGGATTGAACTGTCGCCGATGTTTCTGGGTTGGGGTCAAACCCTTCATCTTTCTCATTCTCCCAAACAATTCCACCGCCTCCACTGCAACGGCCATCTTCGAGTACCCTGATATCATCGAATTCCACAACACTATATCTCTCTCCCTAATTTCATTAAACACTTTTCGGGCATATCCCAATTCACCACATCTTGAATACATCGTGATCAATGAATGAGCCATATAACCATCCACATTCAACCTATTCTTGAAAACTATTGAATGGCCAGACTCCTGTGTTCCAAACTATTAAGAGAGAAGAGACTATTTTTTTTTTTTAATTTTTTTTTTATGCATAAATTGTTCATGAGGGTAAATTAGTCAAATTTATTAAATTGTAAAGTTAAAAAAGTCTCCAAAACAGTCAAAGAGTAATTTGGTCAATTTCTCATGTAAATGGTTGTCTTTATCCATTTTTGAACCTTCAAGGAATGTCTTTGTCCAAAAAATAGGTAAGTTTTATTTGAGTGTCATTTTGCCAAACCTTAGTGGGTGTGGCTATACTTTACCCTAAAACAAAATAAGACAATGTAAAAGCTAGCTTAGTAATTTGATCATGTTGAGGTTGATATATTGTAGCGAAATAAAACATCACAAAATGGTCAGTAATTTTAATTATAATTTGAATAGTTGACGGCTTACTTAAAAATTTATGAAACATGTTGCAGTGCCAACATTACAGTCCCGTTAATGTCATGTGAATGTTTAGGTGGCTAATAGGAAAAACAAAATTGTTTTGAGAATAAAAATATTTGATCCATTTATAATCCTCCATCAGTTGGTTCTGAGAAGAGCACGAGATTGAGGCTCCGTTTGTTTGGACGTAAAATATTTTTTAGAAAATATTTTTTTTATTATTTTGGTGTTAGATTGTCGTAAAATATTTACGAAAAAAAAAAATATTAAAATTTAACAAAAATAATTTATCCATAAATTTTCAGCAAATTATTTTATATTTCTCGCCCGATGGACTCAATCTCAACCTTGACGTAGACTTTTGCCAAACACGGATAAAGTAAAAATAAAAGAATATTTTACCTGAAAAAAAAAAAAAAATTTCCAAAAAGAATATTTTATGTTGAAACAAACGGAGTCTGAATGTGTTTTTTTGGATAACTCGGAGTATCCGAGGTTTCGCCCCGACTAATCTGCAAAGACCCATATAGGGCATCTCCCCACCTCGGCACGAAATTGAATGTTGTTTATGGAATACTACATTTGTTGTGAAAAAGAGGCTCAAATAGGAAATAAAAAAAAAAAAATAGAAAAAAAAATATTATAGTGGTGAACAGTACTACACATAAAAAATAAAAATAAAAATAAAAATAATCTAAGTAAACTTTTTAAAAGATATTTTTATTTCTCAATTTTTTTTACTCTCAAATATCTTACAACAAATTTTACACCATATCCTTTGGTTCATTCATGATATTGATTTATCTACTTTTTGGTTTTTTTTTTTTTTAAATAATAAAATATAAAAAAATCTTTCATAAGATAATATCATAATCCCTATTCGCTAGAGTCCAAAATTGATAATTGTGTCATATGTCAAATCATTAAAGTCATGCACATATATTATATAGTCCATATTATTAGTATTTTGCTTTCCAAAACTTCTCTTTCTTTGTCCAAACTTATTAATGGACGACTTTTGACAAAGAAGCTCCATTTTTCAAGCCCCCATTGTCATATAGTCCAAGAAACTAAATATGTCATCCTCATGTACCAACTTTAAGAAAATTGGAGATAAGTTGTGCTGAGTTGGATTGAGTTGAGTTTGTTTTGAATTATTATTTGTTTTATATTTCATTTTATTTCTTTTTATAAATTTCCTTGGTTTTACAAACAATTTTATTTCTTTAGGATATCAAGGATTATTTTAAAATTATTCTCGCAACTATTTTCTAAATATGTTGAATTTTTACATTTATTCGGACCTCTTCACTTTCTAATTAAAATTGGTACTAAATTTACTCCAATCATAACTATAGTGTGTGTTGCTTTAAAACACTTTGAATTTGGAACTGTTTGATTTAATAATTTGAAAATAGTTTTAATAATTACAAAAGCAGTTTTATTTGTTTTTTAATAATTAGAAGAAACTGTTCTCCAAAAATGAGAAACAAAAAATTTTAAATTTATTTCGGAAAATCAATTTTTAAAAGACTATCAACCAAACCAATTTTATACCAATTTTTACTTTTACATCTTTTATAGTCAAACCAGACATTAACCTTAAGTTGAACTCCTCTCTCTCTCTCTCTGGGCGTGTGTGTGTGTTTTTGTGTGTGTGTAGTTTGGAGGAAGTCATGGCGGTGGGATTAGAGAAAAAGAGTGAATACAATGGCAGAATGACACCATTTGTTGTGTTATCATGTATGATGGCTGCCATGGGAGGAGTTATGTTTGGCTATGATATTGGCATTGCAGGTATCTCTTTTTACAACTCTACAAATCTTTTTTATTTTACTTTTCTGCATAAAAAATCATTTTTAATTCTAGCTATATATATCTATTACCGTTTAATTAACAGAGTAATAAACAAATTGATGAATTATTAAAGGTTTCTGTAGTGTAAAGATAGAACAATTATGCTAGTTTAATATACACCATGTTTGGATTACGGAAGGTTTATCACAAAGTTAAGAACCACACGCGAATATATATATGTGTGTGTGTGTCCACAATGGTGGTGGTGGAACGCTTAGAACAATCTATAATCCACCACCACTATGACGGCCCAAGTTTTTGTAAACCCGGTGCGTCAGTGATGACCACAAGATGATCCGATAATGGATTCGAAAAATGCGGAAGCGAAAGGTGAAACAACGGTCTCTTGATATACAATGCGTCTCTAAGACACCAATGTAACCCTCAATGAGGTCACCGAACCCAAAGGAAACAAATGCAGAAGTGTCGTTTTAAAAACGGTCAAAAAGAACCTAGGGGTAAAATGGTCATTTTACAAAAGTGGATTCAGGTGCTATCGAGCATACCACTAGAAAGACAATGACAAATTAGTCAAGTTCAAAACAAAGTTTACTCAATTTGGAGTCCGGACGGGGGAGAAAGGTCAAAAACAAAAATGATGTCATGGCGGCCCGACGAGGACAACCCACAATTGCTGCAACTGAGAGTAAAAACGGGTATGTAAACGGACTTTTTTGGAAAAACTCAAAGAAGAAACCCCCCCTAAAATCAAGTTTCCTACCCCAATAGCAGACGGAAACAAAAAAAATGCATTGTAAAATGCCCAGAATGCCCCCAAGAAAATCAGGTCAAGAGGAAAAAAACGAATCCGAGCTACTGCCCAAGTTTTGGAAATAGGGCTTTGGGAGGTTTTTAAATTGCCTAAACTGAAAATGCAATCTTAAAATACACCCACAAGACCTCCGGAAGTTTCGGATCGGTCGTGACGATTTTCAAAAAAAAGTCGATGAATAGTACCAACTACATTTGTACTAAAAATTTGCAAAACCTGGCAGCAAGGATTTTCTGAAAAAATATTGACTTTTGAGGGCCAAGATGATGTTTTCTGGAAAAACACAAAAAATAAACCCCCCTCAAAATCAAGTTTTCTATGTGACGCGCGAGGAAAAATGAAAAAAATTCATTGTTAAATACCCGAAATGCCCCTGTAACAGAATAGGATCAAAACTAAAAAATATGCAACTTTAGGTTTTTGTTTCATCAAGGAAGGTATTGTTTGCCAAAGTGAGTATGCAAATGCAAGCAATATGATAAAATAGATGTACCAACATGGCCTAAGTCCTCTTTACATTCCATTAACAAGTTTAGTATACAAAGCCTACATTTCTCACAAATAAGCTACAATGGCACTACTTGAGTTTTAAAGAGAACATACTTGTAATCTTTCATGTTAATGGCTTTTAGCGTCATGCTACACATACAAAACAAACATAAAAAAGAGTACTTAGATACACATTACATGAAGGAAGCCATCTTAGCTTCTAAAATACCATACATCCATAATATACAAAAGTATTACATCCAAAAGATAAAACATGCTAAACTAGTGCATGCTAATTGTGATGTCTGTATATAATTGTGTGGTGTGTGATTTAAATGAAAAAGAAAATGAGAAAAAGAAATTATAAAAGAAGTGGGACCCACATCACTTTTTAAGTGAATTGTGAGGCCAAAATTGGTCTCTGCCTTTCTCTTTCTCTCCCGACAGACGCTCTCTGCTTCTCCTTCTTTTCTTTTTTTTTTTTTTTTTTTTTCACTTTAAGCTTCCATTGTTGATTGCTCCTTCATCTTTTGTCAGATTGAGGTGCCGTTTGAGGCAAAACGAAGCTTGTGTCAAGCTCTAGGCATACATACCAACAATTCCAGATTTGGTACTGTGGCGACCTTGTGGGCGGGTGTGTGTGAGCGTGTGCAGGGGGCACCAGTGGGCGAGCTACAGGTGCACAATCCCACATCGTCTGGGTGTGGATGGGGCAAGTGCTATATGTAGATTCAACACCCTTCTATGACACAACGCGTTTTAAAGCCGTGATGGCCGTGAACCCATCAGAACTCTGTAGTTAAGCGTGCTTAATTTGGAGTAGTACCAGGATGGGTGACCCCCTGGGAAGTCTCTGGTCTGGGTGAGCCAAAAGTGGACAATATTGTGTCTGGCCAGGGTGAGGGTCGTTACAAATGGTATCAGAGCCTGACCCAGCAGGAAGTGTGGCCAACGAGGACGTTGGGCCCCAAAGGGGGGGTGATTGTAGCGACCTTGTGGGCGGGTGTGTGTGAGCGTGTGCAGGGGGCACCAGTAGGCTACCACACTGGGCGAGCTACAGGTGCACAATCCCACATCGTCTGGGTGTGGATGGGGCAAGTGCTATATGTAGATTCAACACCCTTCTATGACACAACGCGTTTTAAAGCCGTGATGGCCGTGAACCCATCAGAACTCTGTAGTTAAGCGTGCTTAACTTGGAGTAGTACCAGGATGGGTGACCCCCTGGGAAGTCTCTGGTCTGGGTGAGCCAAAAGCGGACAATATTGTGTCTGGCCAGGGTGAGGGTCGTTACAGGTACACCCTTTGAACTTCGAAATTTAGGACCCATTTTCTAGGGTTTGCTCATTTTTGAGGTAGGGGCATCTTAATCCACTCTAATCTTGTTCTATTGTGAATTTTACCTCCATGTTGTATTAAATATACTTAATTTAGAGTTAATTATATCTATGATGGTATTAATGATGTCTAGAGGGTTTTCACGATCTTGAATATGGTTGGTTCATGTGCAAATTATATTTAGTTGTTGATTTCCTATGTTTACTATGTGCTAGCATGCTGAAATTGATGTATGAGAGTATGCTTATTTAAATTGCGCCAAATTTCCCAATTCATGATGTTGAGCTCATATATATATATATATGCACATGCTTAAATGTATTTTGTTATATCTCAATGTGTTAATAATTACTTGGGAGATGTTGAACATGTTGAATGTTTAATTTTATGATGGAAAATTTTAAATGCCATGACATTGAATGTATGGAATATATATATATGCACATACCATTGGGTTTGCATGAAATGGGAGAAATTGTTCTTGAAATAAATATGGGGAATTTCAGGGAAGTGTTTTTGATAAAATGGTTTTATGCGAAACCCGGTCGCTGTGGGGTTACCAATGGGCCGGAGGTTAATATAGCCTAGAGGGGACTAGGGAGTCGCCCTAGCGTGGTTGAGCTAGCTGGGCCCCATAATGACGCCGCGGGGTTACCAAGGGTCAAGGACACTAGCAAATCCTCCTTTCGTGTCGCGGCGGGGTTACCAAAGAGCGGGCTGTATTAACGTTTGAAAGTGATGGTTTTGAGAATGAAAATAGGGAGTGTCATTGACATGTATTGCATTTCATTGCATTGCATTGCATTGTTTATAATTGGAATTGAATTGTATGTTGTATTTGATCCCCTACATTGTATGATCCTATCTCCCATTGGCCTATGCTTTGCTTGAATTCACAAGGACACAAGATTTGTGTCTTAAGTGTCACCTACTGAGCATATAGCTCACCCTACTATTTTTACATTTTTTTCAGGTTTTGGAAAAGAATCGGTGGACGACAACCCACCTCAAGCTTGAGCGATACTAGAAGCTCACTTTTGTGTCTTTTGTATATTTCCCATTATTTTTGCAAAGCACTAAAAGTATAAAGGTGTATATGTATATTTTGCAAAACTTTGTCATGTAATTTAACTAAGGTATTTGATGGTATTTTGGATGGGAATTTGATAGCATGTAACCTTGTTGACGAATGGGAAGGATAATTTTAGTTAAAGTAATTATCGGTGTTATTTGATTGTGTATGATCATATACTGTTGCCGTGAATTCGAAAATTTGTTGCATGACAGGTTAGAAAAAAAAAAAAAAATGCATTTAAACAGGTTGCGGTAGGTCAATTTTTAGGGGGGGTTATGTCGAATTTTTTGTAAAATTCTTGGCATCAGCTAGGGTCGTTACACTAATATACAAAAATGCTTCAACTAGCTCAAAAGCTTCTAAGGATGATGAGCATCCATGAACATGGTCTCTTTACCTGAAAAACAACCCAAACCACTAGGGTGAGTAATCAAGTTACTCGTAGGAGAAACATATGCGTATACCCTAAAGTTTCAATATCATTGCGAGATCAATATAGACGAATACAAGGGAGTATTCCACTTAACGTCTAAGTTCAAGGTGTGCTAAGGGATCATCTTAAGCGAACTTAAATGATTCTTAAACAACACATAACAATGTTAATGTACTTAACAACATCAATTCGCAATCAACCAAAAATTACAAGTTACAATTAAACATTGGTTGTCAACTTGAAATTTAATGCGAAATCACATAATGGAAAACTTGGACATCTCGTCTTGGACTAAACCAAGATCAATATGGTTATTCCGGGCATTAACTTGCTGGGAAGACTATCCTAGTGCGCACTATCTCAATTGGGGAGAACTCATACCTCTCGCACTAAAGCCAAACTTTAGCCATGTCACTTGTAACACAATGTCCTAAGAGAATCCAAAATATATCAAGTTCAAAACTTATATATCATAATTTAAGGCATATAAACCACCTTCCATGTACAAGTATCTTTGAAACCACACAAACCATGTCTTAGAGTTCCAAATCTAGAATGACATAATAAGTGACAAGTTCTTAACATGATATAATGTGCAATATAATACCATAAACTCATCAATTTAAACCATGTCTCAACAATAAGCTTTATATATTAGATTACAACATTTATAGTATTAAGCTTCTAAAATAATTACAATCACCAATAGTAATCAACTTAAATGTAGAATTATCATCACAATAGTATAGTAATTCAAATCAATAAGACTTCTATACAACAACAATAATCCTACACAAGATACATACACAATATACATGCTTAGATCAAATAAACCCTAAGTCAATCATAGGGATTTCCTATAATATGCAAGACTATCATATTAGAAACATGTACACAATATATATTAAACCCCAAAAGATTATAAAACACTTAAAATATAAACATATTACCACCCCTACCTCAATAGAAAATTGAATCTCTATAATCCAAGCAACCAAACACTAAATGGAAAACAAGGTTAGGGTTAATAAAGAGGAGAATGAGAGGAAACTTTTACTAGTTAAGGTTCTTAATCTAAGATAAATGGAAGGGCACCAAAATTGAAGAAGAAAGCTATTAACCAAGCTTTTCTCCAATGGTGGCTAGGTTAAAACTTTGAAGAACTAAGGAAAATGAAGAGGATAAGTGAAAAATGGTGAGTGGAAGGGCTAGAGATCGTCCACTCACTATGTGCTCTTACACAACCTCTTACACACACACTTGCAAGACTAAATCTTGATTCTACACTTGTCACAAATCAAAGGCTCTATCATTATGCTTAATCTCAAGCCTACACTTGTCAATAATCAATGGTTACATGTGCACCAATCTAAGGCTACCACATGGATCCACCCACTAAATGTCAAGAAGTCATGGTGCCAAGTCTCTTCACCTAAATGCCAACAAATGGCTCCATGAGAGTGTGACACTTGTCACACTTTTCAAAAATTGCAAAATGGTTCTTTTTCAAAATATCCTCCAAAATAAATTACAAAAAGGTCCCCAAAATGAAAAATAATTATTTTACATAATTACACTAAAACCCCAAAAGTTATGAATAATTATAATAAAGTATGCATTCATGCCCTTTATGAATAAAGTAAGCAACTAGCATGCTTTTCAACAAAAGTGAAAATACTAATGTCATGGAAATCAAGTATCATGAATGCATGCAAAACCGGAATCAAATCCGAACACCCGAAGTGAGATTAAGCAAGGAAAAACGATAAACGAGTAAAAGACGAAATAAGGAAAAGACAAAATAGGAAAAAGATGAAAAAAGAAAATCGCCGAAAATGGAAAAGGAGGAAAAAGACCGGGTCATTACAACCACACATATGAAGTCCTGTCTCATAGGGCAATTATCGAAAAAATTCTTGGGATTCAAACTCCCCTTGTATTGGGAGTTTGACAGTTTTCACATGCTGCTCTATGTTAATGGTTCTTGTTTGGAGGTCACTTTATCTTAATTTTTCTCTCTCAACAATACAAAAAGTTGCAAAATAATATTAGTGATGATGAATAATTATTTCTTATTTAATTTTATAGAATAAGGCGTTTTAACAATTGATAGTATTAGACGTATCAATGGATTAAATTTGGATTGGTAAAGTATGATACTATTTGAATCCAAAAAGAAATATAAGTGATCCGATCCAATAATCCAAAGATTTGTGAAATCTGTACTGATTTTATTTTGTGTTATCTATTTCTAAAAGTTGAGATTAAATATTGTATAATTATTTGAGGGAAAATTGAAATGTTTAAGTGATAATTGCTTGTAATTTTGAAGGTGGAGTGACCTCCATGGAGCCATTTCTGAAGAAATTCTTCCCTCAAGGGTACACTAAGATGAAAGAAGAAAACACTGTTAGCAACTACTGCAAATTTGACTGCCAGTTGTTGACCTTATTCATGTCCTCACTCTATGTGGCTGGCCTTGTTGCTTCCTTCTTTGCCTCCTCGATCACCAGAGCCTATGGGCGCAGGCCATCAATCCTTCTCGGAGGGGCTGCATACCTTGCCTGTGCAGCCCTTGGTGGCGCGGCTTATGATGTCTACATGCTCATATTTGGCCGCATCTTGCTTGGAGTTGGCATTGGTTTCGCGAATCAGGTATAGTCTCTGTTCAGTTCTGTTCAAGATTTTTTTCTAATTGCCACTGTCAATGCTGATTCAAATAAGGCCCAAGGAGTTCCCTATTTGATAAAATATGTGTAAATGTGACAAAATTAAAGGGTGGAAATTGATTACAATTTGCAATATAATTTGATTACTGCTCTGTGTGTAAGTGTTCATTGCCACTAGACCTTGTTACCACAGTTCATTGTGTAAGTGTTTATCGCCACTAGACCTTTTGTTACCACAGTTCATTGTTTTAAAAACAAGTCTATTTCAGCAAGTGCAAAAACATTGATGAGGAAGAAGCAAACTGAAAGATGAAAAAAAAAAGAAAAAAAGAAAAAAAGAAAAAGGAAAATGGTTTTGACAGTAATCAAAGTATTTCATATTCTGTAGAGTGGATTTCTCAAAATGTTCTTAATTTTCAATGGCAAATAATGAAGTGTTTTATAAATTAAAGATAGTATTCTTTTCTAAAGTATATTATTTGGTCTAACATTTATAGTAATAATATGTTGCTACTGCAGTCAGTCCCACTGTATCTCTCAGAAATGGCTCCACCAAGATACAGAGGAGCAATCAACAATGGCTTCCAGTTCAGCATTGGTATTGGGGGTCTAGCAGCAAACCTTATTAACTATGGCACGGAAAAGATCAGTGGCGGTTGGGGCTGGCGAATCTCACTAGGAATGGCCTCAATCCCTGCTTCAATTCTGACTCTTGGGGCAGTTTTCCTACCGGAAACACCCAACTGCCTAGTTCAACGTAGCAACGATCATCAAAAGGCCAGGGTGATGCTGCAACGAGTTAGAGGCACCGAAGATGTCCAAGCTGAACTTGATGATCTCATCAGAGCTAGTGCCATTTCGAAAACCATCAACCACCCATTCAAGAAAATCATACAAAGAAAATATAGGCCACAACTTGTGATGGCAATAGCCATACCATTCTTTCAACAAGTGACAGGCATCAATGTCATTGCCTTCTATGCTCCAATACTTTTTCGAACAACTGTTCTAGGTGAAAGCGCGTCCCTCTTGTCTGCAGTTGTGATTGGGTTTGTGGGTAATATCTCAACATTCATATCAATGTTGATAGTTGATAAACATGGCCGAAAAGTTCTGTTCACAAGTGGGGGGATACAAATGTTAGTCTCACAAATCATGGTTGGAGGCATAATGGCAGCTCAGCTAGGGGATCACGGTGGGATGAGCAAAGGGTACACTCATCTGGCTTTGATTTTGATTTGCACTTACGTTGCAGGATACCGATGGTCTTGGGGTCCATTGGGATGGCTAGTTCCAAGTGAAATTTTTTCGTTGGAGGTTCGTTCTGCTGGACAAAGTATTGCAGTGGCAGTGAATTTTCTCTTCACCTTTGTTATCGCACAAAATTTTCTAGTTATGCTTTGCCACTTCAAGGCTGGGATTTTCTTCTTTTTCGGAGGATGGGTGGTGGTGATGACCGGATTTGTTTACGTGTTGTTGCCGGAGACTAAGAACATTCCAATTGAACAGATGGAGAGAGTATGGATGGAACACTGGTTTTGGAAGAAAATTGTTGGGGAAGAGCATGAGGTGAGTAAAATGGAAGGGGCATGAGATTGAATCGAAATGAATACTTTTGAGCAATTGTTACTATGTAATTTCAGGATGGTCAAAGTTCTTTATGTGTACCAAGCAATGTAATTTCAGGATGATCAATATGCAGTTGATCTATTGATGCATGACTTCAATTTCCATTTCATGGTAGTTAATTCAGTAAAAATCATGGATATCATTTTTTCTCTTTTTATCATATATATAACTATATATATATATATATTGCCTTCTGATTTCATTGAATAAAGATCCCTTGTTAGTACAATCAAATTTATTTCTTAAGTAAAATAAGGAACTCTCTCCCAATATGGGTTACATTTAGTTCTTAAAGTTATATTTATTTTAGTATATTGTTTCTAAAAACATTTCCTTCTACGGTAAAATTGGTCACGTTTGATTCTGTTACCTGTAATATGTCTTTGATAGTGAAGTCCACAAGACTACAAACCTTTAGCTCTACTTGTCCAACAAAAGTACAAACTTGTAGCTCCATTATTCAACTCAGCATCTTACTAAAAGTCCAGTGGAGTGAATATCCCACACTAACCGCATTGACAAGCTGATATCGAGCAGTCAAGTTGGACTGTTCTGTGTGTGAGAGGGAGAGAGAGAGAGGGAGAGAGAGAGGGAGGGAGAGAGAGACATAGAGAGAGAGGGAGAGAGAGAGAGAGAGCTTGGGGAAGCTATGGCAGTGGTATTAGCAGTAAGGGATGAAGGCATGGAATACAATGGTAGGATGACAGCATTTGTTGTGCTATCTTGCATGGTGGCTGCCACAGGAGGAATTATCTTCGGCTATGATATCGGAATTTCAGGTCTCTCTTACAAATAAACAGATCATTCTAGTTTTCTTTTCTGCATAGAAAATCAATCTATCAATTACCCATTTATTAAAAAATACACAAACTGCTCTGTTGATTGTTTTTCATAATTCGCATGATTTATTTATGTTAGCTGCCACTAAATAAGTTGGGACTATTTGAGGTTTCTTACATAGTTGTTGAGTCGTACATATTTCACTGATACCACACAGTATATGCTGTTTTGAGGATTTGGAAGTTTTCTCATGCTGCCATATGTGAATGAATCTTAATTGAAAGTCCTTATCTCTCTCTCTCACACACACAGGGTACTGTTTTAGGTACTTTAAAAGAGTTCCATAATACAGTACTTTACTATAGTTTTACCTTTTACACAATAAGTATATCTTTTCATACATAAAATACATCTAGCTATTTAAGAGTTTTGAAATTGTTGTGATTGCTATTACTATAAAAGTTGAATCACATTGCATAACCATTTGAGGGAAAAGTTGAGAAGTTTTAACGACAAGTGCTGGTAATTGCATGTGAAGGTGGAGTGACCTCCATGGAGTCATTTCTGAAGAAATTCTTCCCAGAAGTGTACACTAAGATGAAAGAAGACACTGAGATTAGTAACTACTGCAAATTTGACAGCCAGTTGTTGACCTCATTCACATCCTCACTCTACGTGGCCGGCCTAATTGCTTCGTTCTTTGCCTCATGGATCACTAGAGCCTTTGGTCGCAAGCCATCAATCCTTGTCGGAGGAGCTGCATTCCTTGCTGGTTCAGCCCTCGGTGGTGCAGCTTATAATGTGTACATGCTGATATTTGGCCGCATCTTGCTTGGCGTTGGGGTTGGTTTTGCAAATCAGGTAGACAGTCTCACTGCTTTCTGTTTGGGATCGTGTTTGATAGGCTTCTGATAACAACTAGTAATGCTGAATGAACTAAAAACTAATGCACCCTCCAAAATGTAGTAGTACTGATCTCTCTCTTAGTGCAATTAGAATCCCATTACCGTAGTTCACTATTTTAGCAACAAGCCTATTGACATAAGTGCAAAGTTTATTGATCAGGAGGTAGCAAACTTGAAAGCCAAAAGGGAAAAGGCAAGTGATTTTCACATCAAGAAGACTCATCTTCTGTAGAATCAGAAAGGGATGAAAATGTGATCAAATGCATCTACATTTGATAGCAGTTCATGACAAAGAAAAAGTATGAATAATAACATATTAAATAGAAGTAAAAATTATAATTTTGATTAGTGACAATAATTTATGTCCTTCAAACAGAAGTAGAAGCAGAATCATGTAGAAAAATTACTTATATGTCATTAAAAAACAAAAAGAAAAAAAAAAAAGAAAAAAGAAAAAAAAGAGATGCACTATTCTCAATTTTCAATAGGGAAATAATGACTGCCCAATTTGAATGGCATGTTTTCTAAAATCTATGTTTGGTTAACCTTTACCTCTACTCTGCTTCTTCTGCAGTCAGTCCCACTATATCTTTCAGAAATGGCTCCTCCTAGATACAGAGGAGCAATCAACACTGGCTTCCAGCTCTGTGTAGCTATCGGGGTACTGACAGCAAACCTTATTAACTATGGTGTCGAAAAAATCAAAGGCGGTTGGGGCTGGCGAATCTCCCTAGCCATGGCAGCTGTCCCTGCTTCAATTCTGACTCTTGGCGCACTTTTCCTCCCCGAAACACCCAACAGCCTAATTCAGCGAAGGAGCAACGATCATCAAAAGGCCAAGTTGATGCTGCAACGAGTTAGAGGCACTGAAGATGTCCAAGCGGAACTTGATGATCTCATCAAAGCTAGTGCTATATCGAATACCACCAAACACCCATTCAAGAAAATCATACAAAGAAAATATAGGCCTCAGCTTGTCATGGCAATAGCTATACCATTCTTCCAACAAGTCACGGGGATCAATGTCATTTCCTTCTATGCTCCAGTCCTTTTTCGAACTATTGGTCTAGGTGAAAGTGCATCACTCTTGTCCTCATTACTTGTGACCGGGGTTGTGGGTACCGGCTCAACCTTTGTCTCAATGCTGATAGTTGATAAGCTTGGCAGAAGAGTTCTGTTCATATTTGGTGGGATACAAATGTTTGTGTCACAATTAATGGTTGGAAGCATAATGGCAGCTCAGCTAGGTGATCATGGTGGGATGAGCAAAGGGTATTCTCTTCTGGTGTTGATTTTTATCTGCATTTATACTTGTGGATTTGCTTGGTCTTGGGGTCCATTGGGATGGCTAGTCCCAAGTGAAATATTTTCGTTGGAGATTCGTTCTGCTGGACAAAGTATTGCAGTGGCAGTGAACTTTCTCTTCACCTTTGTTATTGCTCAAACTTTTCTAGCTATGCTCTGCCACTTTAAGGCTGGGATTTTCTTCTTTTTCGGGGGATGGGTGTTGGTGATGACCGGATTTGTTTATGTGTTGTTGCCAGAGACTAAGAACATGCCAATTGAAAAGATGGATAGAGTATGGAGGGAACACTGGTTTTGGAAGAAGATTGTTGGGGAAGAGCATGAGGGGAGTAAAATGGAAGGGTCATGAGATTAAATAAATTCGAATTTACGACACCATTGTTGAGCAATTTCTAACATGTAACCTCATGATGAAGAAAGTTCTTTTTGCAGGTGTGCTCTCATATTTTACAGAAGCCTAAACCAGGCTAAATAGTTACCATTTCGATATTTTGTTGATGCATGACTTCAATTATCTGTTTGTCAAAGATCATTCCAAAAATCATCATATTTTTGTTATTCAACTAATTGAATGTAAGCAACAACTGACTAAAAAAAATGCAGAAGTAAAGATGATAGGATCAACCCCACATCAATTCATTTTGTAATTCCAAAGAAGCCACAATATATAAAGTATTCTTGGCAGAGACAACTTTTAAAAAAATCAGTCAAACATTTCAATCTGTCACTTGCAAGGCCTATTTGTCCTTCCAAACAACTATCGAGGAAATTCAAAATGGGACAATACTTGTCTCTAACCTTGTCATTACAATCAAATTTCTTTCTTTATGTTAGGGAATATCAAAGATTATCTTCCAATAATTGTGAAATATGCCAAATCATAGAGCTATATATATATATGTTAGAATATTGTTTCCAAGAACTTTCCTTAATATGTTGAGTAATAAAATTGGTCTTGTTTGTATCTGTTATATGTACCAGTCTTCTTCGACAGTGAAGCCCACAAGACTACAAAATCTTCCAAGCTCCATTATTCAATCAACACCCCACATTGTCCTAAAAGTCCAAGAGATATGTGATACTTTTTTATGAATATCCCTCACTGACCACACTGATGATATCTAGCAGTCAAATTGGACCTTCCTCCCTCCCTCCCTCCCTCCCTCCCTCTCTCTCTCTCTCTCTCTCTCTCCTCTGCAAGCTTGGGGGTAGCCATGGCAGTGGGATTATCCATAACAAGTGAAGGTGGGGAATACAATGGCAGGATGACTCTATTTGTTGTGTTATCCTGTATGATGGCTGCTATGGGAGGAGTTCTTTTTGGCTACGATATCGGTATTTCAGGTATATATCTCATGCTACAAATCTAGAGATCATTTTAGTTTTCCCTTCTGCATATAGAAAACCAATCTATCTTTTTTGCCCACTAATTAGCAATAAGTTGGAGAATTGTTAAGGATTTTTATGGTGTAAGATAAAGCAGTTCTGTTTTTTGTTTTTCATCATCCACATGATTTAGATATGTTAGTTAATTTATTTGACACCCAAAAGTTGGGACCAATAGGCTTTCCACACAGTTGTGCATGTGGCAAATATTTTTCTTGAGTCACATAATGCTTTAATGGGATTTTGGCAGTTTTCATATTCTTCTACATGTGAATGGAACTTGTGTGGAGGACTCTCTCTCTCTCTCTCTCTCTCTCACACACACACACACACACACTAATAATGTATAATAAAGAATGCATTATAATAAGAACATATATATATTTGATTTATAGTAGTATTCTCTTGTTCTAATTGCTAGTAAATTTTTTTTTGGGAAGTGTAATTTTTTCATAATATTATGATATTTTTCTACTTATTATTATTATTGTATTTTGTATTTGGTTAGGTGGAAAAGAGTGAGAAGCAGTTACTATTGGTTTTACTTTAGCAGGATTGTGATATATATATGCAGGGATAAATTTTCCCACAGTATGAAGAATAGAGAAGTTGTGACTGGTTTGATATGCATTCTAGCTTTGACAACTCAAATTCTGCTTATATAATTTGATCCAACCATCAAAATTAGGCTCTATTGCCATTGCTATTACTATGAAAGTTGAATTTTACATTATATAACAATTTAAGGAGAAAGTTAGAACAGTTTTATTAATATTTGCGAGCAATTGTGAAGGTGGAGTGACCTCCATGGAGCCATTTCTGAAGAAATTCTTCCCAGAGGTGTACACTAAGATGAAAGAAGACACCAAGATTAGCAACTACTGTAAATTTGACAGTCAATTACTGACCTCTTTCACGTCCTCACTCTACGTGGCCGGTCTAATTGCTTCTTTCTTTGCCTCTTCTGTCACTAGAGCCTTTGGCCGCAAGCCATCAATCCTTGCCGGAGGAGCTGCATTCCTTGCTGGTGCAGCCTTAGGTGGAGCAGCATATAATGTGTACATGCTGATATTTGGCCGCGTCTTGCTTGGAGTTGGGGTTGGTTTTGCAAATCAGGTAGGTAGTCTCCCCTCTTTATGTTTTACATTTGCTTTTTGACAGTAACTCAAAAAGGGGCTAGTTAAGTGCACGAGGCTTCTGGTCACAACTATTAATGATAATTGAAGTAAAGACTAATGCAGCCTAGGTTATGTGAAGTGTCTCTACATTTGCTAGCAATGCATACCAAAAAGATTGGATCACAGATGAATGCAAGCGGCATATAATGCACCGCCGAACTGAAAGATGAAGATAATTTTTCTGCCTGGCACTGAAATATAAACAAATATGAAGAATAACAGATTAAAAAAAAGAAGTAAAAATATGATTTTTACTGAGTGATTGATAATGTAGGATGTGCTGGATACAAAAAGAAGCAGAAAACGAATTATCTAGAAAAATTACTTACCGCGAAAAAGGAAATGATAATTGGACTCATTTGCATGCCTAATTACAATCCTCAGCTCAACAGAATCAGCAACATTCTCAAAACTTCAATGGCAAACAATGAATCAGCCAACATAGATGGTTTGTTTCCTAAAATATATATTTAATTAACAGTTATATTTTATTCTTCCTCTTCTGCAGTCAGTCCCACTATATCTCTCAGAAATGGCTCCACCGAGATATAGAGGAGCAATCAACAATGGATTTCAGTTCAGCATTGGCATTGGGGCTCTGTCAGCAAACCTTATCAACTACGGTACTCAAAAAATCAAAGGCGGTTGGGGCTGGCGAATCTCCCTAGCCATGGCAGCAGCCCCTGCTTTAGTTCTGACTCTTGGAGCACTTTTCCTCCCCGAAACACCCAACAGCCTAATTCAGCGAAGCAACGATCATCAAAAGGCCAAGATGATCCTGCAACGAGTCAGAGGCACCGAAAATGTCCAAGCTGAACTCGATGATCTCATCAAAGCAAGTGCCATATCCAATACCACCAAACACCCATTCAAGAAAATCCTACAAAGAAAATATAGACCTCAACTAGTTATGGCAATAGCCATACCATTCTTCCAACAAGTCACGGGAATAAATGTCATTGCCTTCTATGCTCCAGTACTTTTCCGAACTATTGGTCTTGGAGAAAGCGCGTCACTCATGTCTGCAGTTGTGACCGGGGTTGTAGGTACTGGCTCAACCTTCATATCAATGTTGGTAGTTGATAAACTAGGCAGAAGACTTCTGTTCACAATTGGGGGGATACAAATGTTTGTGTCACAAATAATGGTTGGAGGCATATTGGCAGCTCAGCTAGAGGATCATGGTGGGGTGAGCAAAGGGTATGCACTTGTGGTCTTGATTTTAATCTGCGTTTATGTTGCCGGATTTGGTTGGTCATGGGGTCCATTAGGATGGTTAGTTCCGAGTGAGATTTTTCCACTCGAGATTCGATCAGCTGGACAAAGTATTACAGTGGCAGTCAGCTTTGTTTTCACTTTCATTGTTGCTCAAACTTTTCTGTCTATGCTCTGCCATTTCAAGTCTGGCATTTTCTTCTTTTTCGGGGCATGGGTGGTGGTGATGACTGTGTTTGTTCACCTACTGCTGCCTGAGACTAAGAACATGCCTATTGAAAAGATGGATAGAGTATGGAGGGAACATTGGTTCTGGAAGAGGATCGTCGGGGAAGAGCTTGACGCGAGTAAGGAGGAGACTTGAGATTAATTGAAGAAAATTAATCTATGACCGTATTGTCAAACACTTTTAGATCATGTAATTTCAGGGTGAAAAATTAAGCACTTGTGTGTTTGTTTTCATGTTTTACAGTGGCATAAATCAGGCTAAACATTTACCATTTTCGATATTTGGTTGATGCTTGAACTAAGTCACACAATTCTTTATGTTGCTGTTACTCTATGAGCACGCTTTTGCTCTCACGTTTTGCGTGCGCTTTACTTCCTATTCACAGCCCATCTGATTTAGATTTTATTGCTTTCACGCTCCCGTTCCGAATTTCGCTCTCGCTCCAGCTTACATTTGACAAAATTGTGGGAAAATCTTCTTTTAAGTTCAATAAAACAATTGATATAATTCATCAAACTATATATGAATACGACCTAATTGAGGCCATATGGTTAAACTCAACTGGTTGAAAAGAGGCCATATGTGAATACTCAGCTAAATGAGAAGATGATTTACATGAACAAAGGTCGGAAATTATTATTATTATTTTCCTCTCTTCCCAAAAATAAGTTGGTAGGTACAGTACAGATATATATATATATATATATATATATATATATAGTAGTGAATACTTATTTTTAACTTTAAACTTAAGCAACAAGTCCAGATTTATGATTAATTTGCAGATTGTGGTCACCATGACTTAGAACTCTGAAATACTAATGGAGCAGACAAAACTATGAATTAAAGCAAATGCTTACCTTACTATTGAAACTTGAATTGGAATTGAACTCTTGAAGTTTCTGATTACTGGAAAGGATTTCACAAAGAATTGAATTTAAATTACACTTATGTTACGTTTGAGAGTATAATTGAAAATTTTAATTAAATTTCATTCAGACTATTTTTTTTTTTTTTTTTTTTTTGGGAACTCGGAAATCCCCGGGCCCAAGTTACAAACCTAGGCCACGCGCACCGGCCCCACAACACGTGCAATGGTCAGTCGAGAACTCGTAGACAAGCGCTAGGATTCGAACCTTGGCCAGAGCCTTGATGGATAGCCAAGCACTTTGAGGGCCGTCGTGGCTACCAACTCTGCTACTGCTAATAAGATAGCTCAAATTAAAACTGTTGAAATAAGGGGGAAAAGGATCTTTTCGGGCGGAGCTAAAGTGAATGAATTGACAAAGAAAATATTCAGCCATGGCTCTACTTTACCTTTAATTAAACCACCAAATTTGTTGAAGGAAAAATGAAAAAAAAAGAAAGAAAAAAAAAAGATGATTTTTAGTTACCAAATTTAAAAGTAATTGCACATTCTCTGTGTTAGATCCCAATACCATGTGCAACCAAACATACTGTAATGATTACACTTTCATTAAATTTTCGAAGAAAAAATCATTACACTTTTATTGCTTTTTAGTGACCATATATGGTTCTTCAATAATAATTATTTTTAGACTTATTACTAAATTATAATTTATCTGTAAAAATAAAAAATAATACTACTCCTTAATAAATAAGACTTCGGAGTATACCATCATTTTCAATGAGGGACCCAAAAAATTTTGTGAGTAGGGCGATCTTTTAATTTGTGGGAAAAACTTATATAGTGGGTCAATTTTTGTAATTTTAATAAAATTTTCTTCATAAATTTTAAAAAAATTAAAGTATAAAAAAAAAAAATTCAGTGAAGGCGAATTGTAATATTAGTGAGGGAGGGCATCTTCAAAAATTTGAAGTATAAAATACAAAAAAAACAAACTAGTGGGACGAATTATAATTTTAGTGAAGACATCTTCATAAATTTTAAAAATTTTGAGATAAAAAATAAAAATATAAAAAATTCAGGGGGCTAACCCCACTTGTCCTATGTTAAGTTCGTGTCTGATTATTTTATCAAACTTGAGGTTGGCTTATTCAACCAATTTTGAACTCTTAATCTTTAGTTTGGCATCAAAATTGATTAGGATTACTGTTCATGCATATATTTAACGAGTTTAAACTTGACAAACTGAAGCTCTATAACAAATTCAAATCCGAACTATTTATAAACTGATTCACTGGTAACCATTTAATTATTAAATGAGTTTCAAAAACTATTAAGTGAGTTTGAACAAATGTTTTGGAATTGAAGAGAAAAACAATAAGAACAAAATGATTGATCACAACTCACCTAATTAGACTCGAACGAGCCGATGTATACCAGTTAGAAGGCTCCAGACGCAGTGCCATGTCAAATCATCCGCAAGCATACACGTGGCTCAAGGCTATTGGCCAAGACAGTCTGACCACTCGGACAAAGCATCCTTTTTTTTACAACAAAGGTAATTTTCACCCCCTTTTTCCGAAAATTAGGGTTTCTGAAAGATCGATCATATAAAGGTCTCCGCTTAATCCTGTTTGTGATGAGCGGATTTGTTGTTGTTGCCAGAGACTAAGAACATGCCAGTTGAAAAGATGGATAGAGTATGGAGGGAACACTGGTTTTGGAAGAAGATTGTTGGGGAAGAGCACGAGGGGAGTAAAATGGAAGGGTCATGAGATTAAGTAAATTGGAATTTACGACACCATTGTTGATCAATTTCTAACATGTAAATTCAGGATGAAGAAAGTTCTTTGTGCAGGTGTGCTCTCATATTTTACAGAAGCCTAAACCTAGCTAAATAGTTACCATTTCGATATTTAGTTGATGCATGACTTCAATTATCTGTTTGTCAAAGATCATTCCAAAAATCACTTGATTTTTTTAATCAACTAATTGACTGTAAGCAACAACTGACTTAAAAAATGCAGAAGTAAAGATGATAGGATCAACCAAAAAGATCAGTCAAACATTTCAATGTGTCATTTGCAAGGCCTATTTATCCTTCAAAATAACAACTACTGAGCAAATCCAAAATCGGACAATACTTGTCTCTAACCTTGTCATTAAAATCAATTTTCTTTCTTTATGTCAGGGAATATCAAAGATTATCTTCCAATAATTGTGAAAATGCCAAATCATAGAGCTATATATATATATATATATTTAGAATATTGTTTCCAAGAACTTTCCTTAATATGTTGAGTAATAAAATTGATCTTGTTTGTTTCTGTTATATCATATTAGATAGGGAAAGAGTGTGAATTTAAAGAAAACCTGTTCTCTGGTGGCGAGAGCGGCGTTTGAGGTGAGGGAGTCGCTGAGAGATGTGAGATAGAGCGAGTCGCCGGTAGGTTGCGAGCTTTGCTGCTCGTTTCTACTTTCGCCGGAGATCGGTAGGAAGGCGATATAGAGAGAGAAGAGAAGGATGAGGAGAGAGAAAGTTAGGCTTCGTTTGGATACACAAGAGTGAAAAAGAAAGGAAAGGATTATCAGATAAAAGAAAAGAAAAGAAAGGAACTGATAGCTATAATTTATATTCATGTTTATGTTTGGATTGATAGGAGAGAAAAGACAGGAATTGGCAATATTGTTTCCTATTTGTCCTTCCAAACAACAACAACTGAGCAAATCCAAAATCGCACAATACTTGTCTCTAACCTTGTCATTAAAATCAATTTTCTTTCTTTATGTTAGGGAATATCAAAGATTATCTTCCAATAATTGTGAAAATGCCAAATCATAGAGCTATATATATATATGTTAGAATATTGTTTCCAAGAACTTTTCTTAATATGTTGAGCAATAAAATTGATCTTGTTTGTTTCTGTTATATGTACCAGTCTTCTTTGATAGTGAAGCCCACAAGACTCTACAAAATCTTCCAAACTCCATTATTCAATCAACATCCCACATGGTCCTAAAAGTCCAAGAGATATGTGATACTTTTTTATGAATATCCTTCACTGACCATACTGATGATATCTAGCAGTCAAATTGGACCTTCCTCTCTCTCTCTCTCTCTCTCTCTCACTCTCTCCTGCAAGCTTGGTGGTAGCCATGGCAGTGGGATTATCCATAACAAGTGAAGGTGGGGAATACAATGGCAGGATGACTCTATTTGTTGTGTTATCCTGTATGACGGCTGCTATGGGAGGAATTCTTTTTGGCTACGATATCGGTATTTCAGGTATATATCTCATGCTAGCCACAAGTCTAGATATCATTTTAGTTTTCTTTTCTGCATAGAAAACCAATCTATCTTTTTTGCCCATTAATTAGCAGATTACATAAGTTGGAGATTTGTTAAGGATTTTTATGGTATAAGATAAAGCAGTTCTGTTTTTTGTTTTTCATCATCCATAGATATGTTAGTTAATTTAGTTGACACCCAAAAGTTGGGACCAATAGGCTTTCCACAGAGTTGTGCATGCGGTAAATATTTTTCTTGAGCCACAGAATGCTTTAATGGGATAAGATAAAGCAGTTTTCATTTTCTTCTACATGTGAATGGAACTTGTATGGAGGACTCTCTCTCTCTCTTTCTCTCTCACACACACACATACACACTAATAATGTATAATGAATAATGCATTATAATAAGAACATATATATTTGGTTTATTTTATAGTAGTATTAATCTTGTAATTACTAGTAATATTTTTTGGTAGTGTAAAATTTTCATAATATTATGGTGTATTATCACACAATATTATCTTTTCTACTTATAAATAAATGTAGCTATTGGAAATTACACTTGTACTTATTATTATTATTTCATTATTTTTGTATTTTGTACTATTTAGTTGGGTGGAAAAGAGTGAGAAGCAGTTACTATTGGTTTTACTTTAGCAGGATTAATTGTGATATATATAGAGGATAATTTTTCCGACAGTATGACGAAGAAAGAAGTTGTGACTGGTTTGACAATTCAAATTCTGCTTATATAATTTGATCCCACCATCAAAATTAGGCTCTGTTGCCATTGCTATTACTATGAAAGCTGAATTTTACATTATATAACAATTTAAGGAGAAAGTTAGAACAGTTATGTTAATATTTGCGAGCAATTGTGAAGGTGGAGTGACCTCCATGGAGCCATTTCTGAAGAAATTCTTCCCAGAGGTGTACACTAAGATGAAAGACGACACCAAGATTAGCAACTACTGTAAATTCGACAGTCAATTACTGACCTCTTTCACGTCCTCACTCTACTTGGCCGGTCTAATTGCTTCTTTCTTTGCCTCTTCTGTCACTAGAGCCTTTGGCCGCACGCCATCAATCCTTGCCGGAGGAGCTGCATTCCTTGCTGGTGCAGCCTTAGGTGGAGCAGCATATAATGTGTACATGCTGATATTTGGCCGCGTCTTGCTTGGAGTTGGGGTTGGTTTCGCAAATCAGGTAGGGCAGTCTCCCCTCTTTTTGTTTGACACTTGCTTTTTGATCGCAACTAAAAAAAGGTTAGTTCAGTGCACGAGGCTTCTGATCACAACTATTAATGATAATTGAAGGAAAGACTAATGCGCAGCCTTCCTACATCATACATGATAAATGTGGCAATAGTAAGGTTATGTAGTAGTACTTTCTTTCTTACTGTCACTGCCTCCATTCCTATAGTTCATTGTTTTCGCGACAAGCCTAGTGCTAGTAAGTGCAAACTTTACATTGTTGAGGAAGAAGGAAATTGAATGCCATAAGGTAAAAGGTGAATGGTCTTGACACTAGCTTATTAGCTATGTTTATTAATTTTTTTTCCTTCCTCTTCTGCAGTCAATCCCACTATATCTCTCAGAAATGGCACCACCAAGATATAGGGGAGCAATCAACATTGGATTTCAGTTCAGCATTGGTATTGGGGTTCTGTCAGCAAACCTTATCAACTACTGTACTCAAAAAATCAAAGGCAGTTGGGGCTGGCGAATCTCCCTAGCCATGGCAGCAGCCCCTGCTTTAATTCTGACTCTTGGAGCACTTTTCCTCCCCGAAACACCCAACAGCCTAATTCAGCGAAGCAGCGATCATCAAAAGGCCAAGATGATGCTGCAACGAGTCAGAGGCACTGAAGATGTCCAAGCTGAACTCGATGATCTCATCAAAGCAAGTGCCAAATCCAATACCACCAAACACCCATTCAAGAAAGTCCTACAAAGAAAATATAGACCTCAACTAGTTATGGCAATAGCCATACCATTCTTCCAACAAGTCACGGGAATAAATGTCATTGCCTTCTATGCTCCAGTACTTTTCCGAACTATTGGTCTAGGAGAAAGTGCGTCACTCATGTCTGCAGTTGTGACCGGGGTTGTAGGTACTGGCTCAATCTTCATATCAATGTTGGTAGTCGATAAACTAGGCCGAAGACTTATGTTCACAATTGGGGGGATACAGATGTTTGTGTCACAAATAATGGTTGGAGGCATATTGGCAGCTCAGCTAGAGGATCATGGTGGGGTGAGCAAAGGGTATGCACTTGTGGTCTTGATTTTAATCTGCGTTTATGTTTCCGGATTTGGTTTGTCATGGGGTCCATTAGGATGGTTAGTTCCAAGTGAGATTTTTCCACTCGAGATTCGATCAGCTGGACAAGGTATTACAGTGGCAGTCAGCTTTGTTTTCACTTTCATTGTTGCTCAAACTTTTCTGTCTATGCTGTGTCACTTAAAGTACGGCATTTTCTTCTTTTTCGGGGCATGGGTGGTGGTGATGACTGTGTTTGTTCACCTACTGCTGCCTGAGACTAAGAACATGCCTATTGAAAAGATGGATAGAGTATGGAGGGAACACTGGTTCTGGAAGAGGATCGTCGGGGAAGAGCTTGACGCGAGTAAGGAGGAGACTTGAGATTAATTGCAGAAAATTAATCTATGACCCTATTGTCAAAACTTTTAGAACAAGAATTTCAGGGTGAAAAATTAAGCTCTTGTGTTTGTTTTCATGTTTTACAGTAGCATAAAGCAGGCAAAATATCTACCATTTTCGATATTTGATTGATGCTTGGACTACGTCACACAATTATTCTCAACCGGTGTTACTGTTACTCTACGAAGTGCGCTTTCGCTCTCACGTTCTGCATGCGCTGTACTTTCTATTCACATTTAGATTTTGATGCTTTCACGTTCCTGTTCCGAAATTCGCCCTTGCTCTCACTTTGTGTGATTTAATGCTTGCCTACACATTTGACAAAATTGTGAGAAAATCTTCTTTTAAGTCAATGAAACAATTGATTTGATTCATCAAACTGTATATGAATATGACCTAATTGAGGCCATATGTGAAAAGTCAGTTAAATGAGAAGACGATTTACATGCACTAAAGGTTGGAGATTATTATTATTATTATTTTCCCAGTTTACTCTCTTCCCAAAAATAAGTTGGTAGTTACAGATATATATATTTATAATAGTGAATACTTTATTTTTAACTTTAAGCTTAAGCAACAAGTCCGGATTTATGATTAATTTGCAGATTGTTGGTCCCAATGACTTGGAACACTGAAATAGTAATGGAGCAGCAAAACTAAGAACAACCAATGAATTAAAGTAAATGCTTACCTTCTATTGAAACTAGAATTGGAATTGAACTCTTGAAGTCTTTGGTCACTGAAATGGATTTCAGAAAGAATTGAATTTGAATTACACTTATGTTGCGTTTGAGAGTATCGAATACGTGTTTAGAATTTAGGGTTCGAAAAAATATAATTTAAATTTTTAATTAAATTTCATCCAAACCATTTCGGTGCTACTGCTAATAAGATAGCTCAAACTAAAACTGTTGAAGTAATGGGAAAAAGGATCTTTTCGGGCTGCTGGAACTTAAAGTGAATGAGTTGACAAAGAAAATATTCAGTCCTGGCTTTACTTACGTTTAATTAAACCACCAAATTTGTTGAAGGAAAAAAGCGAAAAAAAAAAATCTTAGTTACCAAATTTAAAAGTTATTGCACATTCTCTATGATATAGATCCCAATACCATGTGCAACAAAACATACTGCAATGATTACACTTTTATTAAATTTTAGAAGAAAAAATTTGTAATGTTCTCGATTTTTATCATTTTTCATTTTTTAGAAATTTCTTTTTCCGAAGGTATTTTTGTATTTTCTTGTTTTGCGTGCCGAACACCATGGGTGTACCGGGTGCATGAGAATTTTATTTTCAGATCCATTACATTTCATTGATTATTATTTAATGTGTTTTATGTGGTGACATACTTATCGTTATTATTGGTTAATGTATATGTGAATGTTAGTGGGAGTTGATTTTTAGTGGCCATGAGACCCACCACTATTGTAACTATTGTCTAATGACCACATGGTCACTTTTTTTTATCACTTCTTCTCCTCCATCTGCCGGCAGCTGCATCTTCTCTCTCTTGATTTCAAGCCTTAAAAGCTTGATTTCATCATCTTGCTTTGGGATTTCAACTTTGCCATAGAAGGCAAAGTTGACAAGCTCGTTGAGGGACATCATTTTGATCGGAGCTGATTTTCAATTGGCAACCCTTGGGAATTCAAATTTTGGGCTGTTTGGGGGCTGAATTTGGCTTCCTTTGGTTTGCTCTTCAATTGGAGGTAGGGGTCTTTCTTATGTGTGAAGTTTTGCCTTTCACTTGAGTATATTTCTATTACATTTGTTACATGTTATGAATCATGAAATTTGACCTAAAAATTGTTGAGTTGTGAATGTCTATATGTGTAAATTATGAGTTGTTTCAATCTTGAGTTAATGGTTTATTTAACCTTGTTATATGAAATTTTTTGACAATTCTTGAACATGCCTTACTTGAGAAAATGAAGTCTTTATTGTGTTGATCTTTAAAGTACACCATGGATTTTAATTGACTTTTATAAGATGAATCGATGATATTGTTAGTGCAATAGTGATGAACTTATGATTTAAGGTTGAAAATCATTACATTGCATACCATGTCATAGAAAAGGGATTTAGAGGAAATTCGAAAGGAAAGTTTGTTTTCTTAAAAATAGAGTTTCTTTTAAGAAAGGGAAGTTTTTTTAAAAATGAACCGGATTTCACGAGTCCGGGGCTACCTTGACCTAGAGGGAGCACGGCCCTGTATAGGGCGTGAAAAAGTTGATACTAGGCCCTTTAACGGTTGTCAGGCTTTGCCAGAATTGGAACCGGGGATAGTTATCAATCTCGCCTCGGTAAAGTCAGTTAGCGAATTTCTAAAAGTGTGGGTTGGGTCGGTATAGACTAGATTTGGGACGGGTGCATCACATTCCATTTCAAGCATATCATTTGGTGGAATTGTATCAAGTGTTGAGATTGTTTCTTGCTAAGTTGTTTATGGTACATGAATTCCCATTGCATGATCCCGACATCTTTTCAATCTCATTATATGTTATTTGGCTCAAGGGAGTCCAAAACTAACGCCTTAGGTGACTTCTACTGAGCTTTACGCTCACCCCTTATTTTCAACAATTTCAGGCACGGGAAGGAGGTGGCGGATGATAATCCACCACAGGCTTAGACTGGATTGGAAATCGTATCTAGTTATCTTTGTATGGAAGCATATGCCATGTAGTTTTGTAGAACTCAGTGATAATTTTGTATAGCTTCCAGTTTGTGGTTTTGTAATATGAAAACTCTGAACCACTTGATGTACAAATGTTTATTTTCATGTAAATGATTTTTGGAACTATGTAAAGGTTATGTAAATTTTGTATTTTGAATGAATGGGACGTGGTGTCAAGTTTGGGATGTGTTGGGACAAGTTTTGAACCAGTTTCAAGGTCTCTACTGAGACCATTTTTCATTATTAAGTTCATAGCAGCTTAACTACATTTTTCCGTCTTGCAGGGTCATTCTGGACGATCGAAATGGTCATTTCAGACGACCGGTTGAAATGTTGGACAATTCCAGTAGCCATGTGGTTTTTAGAATCACAACCGATCGACTGGTGGGTTCACTTCGAATGACCGGAATAGGTATTCCGGACGATCGAAGTCCCATTTCGGACGACCGGATTGCTGAACCTTCATTACCCTTGTTCCACCATTTTCAGAACTATTCCTATGTCTTGCAGTAGTTCTCTAATGCATGTAACGAGTTGTAATTTTGAATTGAAAGTGTTTTAGCATGTAAATTGACGATGGTGCCCTTAAATGATCTCGGGTTCGAGTAAGGACCCGGTTAACAACTCGGGCCTACGGGTTTGGGTCGTTACAAAATCATTACACTTTTATTGCTTTTTAGTGACCATATATGGTTCCTCAATAATAATAATTTTTAGACTTATTACTAAATTTTAATTTATCTGTAAAAATAATAAATAATACCACTCCTTAATAAATAAGACTTCGGAATATACCATCATATTAAAAAAAATTGTGAAGGGGGCGGTCTTTTAATTTGTGGGGGAAAATTTATATAGTGGGTCCATATTTGTAATTTCAATAAAGATTTCTTTATAAATTTTTAAAAATTTAAAGTATAAAATGAAAAAAAAAAATTAAAAATTCAGTGGGACGAATTGTAATATTAGTGGGAGCATCTTAAAAAATTCTTAAAAATTTAAAGTATAAAATGCAAAATAAATAATTCAATAGAGGTGAATTATAATTTTAGTAGAGGCATCTTCATAAATTTCAAAAAGTTTAAGGTAAAAAATAAAAATATAAAAAATTCAGTGGGGGCATTTGGCCCCACTGGTCTATGTTAAGTCCGTATCTGATCATTTTATCAAACTTGAGCCCGGCTCATTCGATCAATTTTGAACTCTTAATCTTTAGTTTGACATCAAGGTTGATTAGGAGAAATATATAATCTTTAATGATCGATGTTCATATATATGTTTCACGAGTTTAAACTTGATAGTGACCTCCAAATTTTAAACAAATTTTAAAACTATTTGTAAATTGATTCACTGATAACCATCCAATTATTAAATAAGTTTCAAAAATTATTGAGTTAGTTCGAAAAACAACTCTATAACAAATTTATTTATAAACAGTTTGATTCACCAATAACCTACCTAGAATTCTTGAAGGTTCCAACTCTGTCACCTCTTTCACAACAATAAGTAAATAAAAAGCTTTGGAATTGAAGAGAGAAACAATAAGAACGAACTGATTGATCAATACTCACCTAATTAGAGCAACTCCATTACTGCTGATTATAGCGATATTGGGCAAAGAATTGGATACCAGCTGCTCTAATGGCCAATCCATTTTGTGGGCCCCAAAATTTGGTTATTCAAACAGGTCGCTAAAAAAGGCGAACCTGAAGGCGATTCTAGGCTCAATTATGTGGGCCCATTTTTGTTTTTTTGTTTTTTTTTTTTTAAATTTTTTTAATTCAGGCCAAGAACATTGTACCAGCCCAGAACATTGTTCCTAGGGATATGTTTAGCTAAAATAAAAGTTAAAAATCATATTTTTGACTTATTTTGGTCTTTCTTTTTTTTTTTTTTTCCTTTTTCTTTCTTCAAAATAATTGAACCAAAGAGCAGTTAAGGCATTGTTTGGCTGACACAAATAGTGCCTTAAAGGCTTTTTTGGGCAAAAAAAAGTTTTAAAAATTTTAAAAAAGTGATTTTATTTTCTTTTCAAATTTTTCAACGTTCCTATTGACATTATAACCGTTTAAGGTACTGTTTGGCAGACCCAAACAATGCCTTAACGGCTATATTGACTAACAAAATAAATTTTTTTATTTGTTTTCCCTAACAAATTGAAATTTATTTTAAAATATAATTTTTTTATTAAAAAAAAAAATTGTGTCTTTGTTTTTACTAAAAATTAATAAATCAAATGATATTAAATCAAATGATGTTAGATATTGTATTGTTTACAAGATTTCATACATATTGGCTAAATAATTTAATCAACAAATAATTTAATTATAGCCGTTAGGAAAAAGTTAAAAAATAAATTTTATTTTAAATTTTAAAAATATTAAAATATTAATATTTTTGGAGAGCGAAAATGCACCATTGGAGTATATGCGATAGCTAAAATTTGGAGACTCTAAAATACTAACGTGGTTATGAAAAATGCTGACGTGGCATGTAAAAAATGCAGAT